GTGTGTGTGTGTGTGTGTGTGTGTGTGTGTGTGTGTGTATGTATATAGATCTAAAATAAGTGATAATGATAATGCCAATAAATTAGTAAGAATTTACAGAGGGGGGGTGTCTGACTCTCTGTAGAAATTGATGACCATAGGGAGAAGAGGTCATATTTAGAACATTATTTGATTTTATTTATGTATTTTAAGGGGGTCTATCATTTTGTTACTGGTTGTTACAGATATTTTTTACTACCAAAGTCATTTTTGTGCCATTGAGGTCTAATAAAGCCTGTTTATGAACATCTGAGAAGCCCAATCTGGAGGCAGAGTTCCTCCTTTTTGGGAACCAGAAAATGGCCGCCCTCCATTAAACATTTAGCATCACCCACCTTGAGCTTCTCGTACTGGATTAAGCTGAGAGCCAGACAGGACCGGTGGGCGGGGGGAAGCAGGGGCTGAATCACGCTCAGCACGTTGCTGAGAAACTTCTCCCCCTGCTTTCCAAGCCCCGCCCACTTCCTGCCTCCCTGGAGGGTGGTCATGTGACCAACGGAGTTGGACCCGGGCTCGGGCAGGTAGGAGGAGGTCAGAGGGTGCTGGGACTCAAAATCTGGGATGCAGAATAGAAACACATTATACTTCGTATATTTTTTCAGTTTCTGACACAAATGTCTAAAAATAGACTCTACAACCAGCACTGTTCTATGCATACCAAATGTAAAAGACAGCACAATATAGGGCATCTTTTTTACCTAGTACCTTAAAACAAAAACTATACAGAAGAACCTCTATTACGAGGCCTAAACAGATGAATTTTCCAACATCTGAAGTAAAATTTGATCAAATATTCGACTCCACACCTGAAGTAACTTTCCTACATACGATGTCGAAGTCATACAAAAATATATATACTGTAAAATATAAAAATGTCTAACTTCTGATGCCTAAACATACGAATTTTCCAACATACGAATTGAAATGTGATCAAATATATATACAACGTTGAAGTCATAGAAAAAAATTAAAACTAAATAGTGTAAGTTGGTGTAAAGTTCCTGTGTAAAGTCAGAGTGAGTTAGGGCTGGTCCTGTATCTCAGTCTCCACCTCTACCTCCGTTCTTCAGTCTCTGAACTAAAGGGACAAATAAAAACCCTTTTTATTGATTATTTCTTTATCATTTATTTATTTTTCCATCCTTCCTCTAGAAGTCATTTGTTTTCTTGCTGTGCGTAATTATCTGCAGTATTTATTAAGGAGTGATAGTAGGATTTTGGAACCAATTCTAGGAATTACAGTGTATTCTGATGGAAGATTTGAACCAGGATACCAATATTTAACACAGAACTCGCTCCTGGAACCAGTTAAACTCCTATTTAGAGGTTCTGCTGTACTAGGGGTGGGACGGTTCACAAAATCCACGGTTCGGTTCTGTTCACGGTTTGGTGGTCACGGTTTTGGGTTCGGTTCGGTATGTGTTGATTGTTAGGAAAATCTATTATGTCTTGTATAGTCAGGTTAAAACTGAAAGAAAAAAGCAGTCTGACATTTGATACATTATTGTGACAGTCTGAGGTTAAAGTAGGTGAGATTCTGGCATTAAGAGAGAAAACAGAGCTAATTCCAACATGTGCTTCCCTCTAAATGCAAACTGGTCCATACAGCAGAATATAAACTGCTGTTGGTCTGATTTTTATGGGCTACGCTGCTTCTTCTTCTTCTGGTTTCCTACTGGTGGTTGGCTTTGGGCGCAGTAGCGCCCCCTTCTGCTCTGGAGTGTAAACGCTTCCCTCTGAGAAAAAGGAGCAGCAGGAACCGAACGCAACACACGGGAACCGAACCGAGACAGAACCCAACGGTTCAGACGGTTTTCAGAAACCGTCCCATCCCTATGCTGTACTATACAAATCTCCAAATCTGGATATGTTCACATCTTTACCCTGGGTGAGGAGAGACAGGTTCTCCAGCAGCATGCCCGGCAGACAGGGGGCTGCAGAGAGCCAGTCTCTGAGCTAAATAAAAACCTTTTCTATTGACTATTTCTTTATCATTTATTTCTTTTTCCATCCTTCCTCTAGAAGTCATCTGTTTTCTTGCTGTGTGTAATTATCTGCAGTATTTATTAAGGAGTTATCGTAGGTTTTTGGAACCAATTCTAGGAATTACAGAGTATTCTGATGGAAGATTTGAACCAACACACCAATAT